AATTTTATTGTATTCGCTGCTTTTCAATGTCCTTTTTAAGGCTACAAGCTCTTGAATTTTTAGAAAGTAATTAAAATATTCTTTTGGGCACTTTATTGTACCCTTTCTTTTCCTGACCTATTTCCCTGCAACTTAATATACACTTTATATATTTTAATGTATTTTTACCTACAGTATTTTCACAGCTGTAAGATTTCTGCATGTTTTAACTACTCTGAAGTATTTTTGTTCTTATGGCACAGAAGAAATGTAGAATAATAAACCTTGTAGAATTAGACAAGCTGATGTTGCCTGGAATTAAAGACTTAAACCTCGATACCCAGATGAATTTTGATATGATTGGAAAAGATTGTCTGATTTCATTCTGGAATCAATCCTAAATAGGATAAATGCCAGCTGTGATGGACACAGGTTTCCGATCCCCCCCCCCAGAGGTCTTTAAAGTTCTATAAGATTCTAGCGGAACTGTTCAAGTGTCAGACTCTCTGAACTGATACTTGTCATCGTCATTTAGTCGTTTAGTTGTGTCTGACTCTTCGTGACCCCATGGTCCAGAGCACGTCAGGCCCTCCTGTCTTCCACTCCCTCCCGGAGTTGGGCCAAATTCATGTTGGTAGATCCGGAAACACTGTCCGCCCATGTCATCCTCTGTCGTCCCCTTCTCCTCTTGCCCTCACACTTTCCTAACATCAAGGTCTTTTCCAAGGAGTCTTCTCTTCTCATGAGATGGCCAAAGTACTGGAGCCTCAGCTTCAGGATCTGTCCTTCCAGTGAGTGCTCAGGGTTGATTTCCTTTAGAATTGATAGGTTTGTTCTCCTTGCAGTCCAGGGGACTCTCAGGAGCCTCCTCCAGCACCACAATTCAAAGGCATCAATTCTTCGACGGTCAGCTTTCTTTATGGTCCAGCTCTCAGAACTGATACTAGTGCTGCCTGAATTTGCTGGACTGCAGCTTCCTTTGGAACTAGACAGCATTGCTTATGATGAGGGATTATAGGATTCATACTATAAAACTTCCAGAAAGCAGTAGGTTTTCTGTCTCTCCTGTAGGGGAAACTGTTGAATCATGTGACAATTACATGGCTTTATTTCTTACTTAAATTGTCCAGATCTGTTCTTCCTCTAGGGTGACAATTCTGACATTTCTGAAAAACTCTACCCAGCCAAGGCGAAAGTCTTCTTTTACCTGGCTCTTTGCTGCAGTGCAAAAGTCAGACTCATTTTCAGATTTCAGGTGCATTCTCCAACATCATTTCTCCTACATGACTCTCTTAGGGAGCAAAAGAATAAGGGGGAAAAATCAATGTGTAAGCTCTGAAAATTCAATGAAGCAGCAAATGGAACTGAAATGGAAAAGGATCAAACATTTATAGAGGGATGAGATGGTTTTCCTGGACAGTAAGCATCAACTTGAAAGGGTAAAGAGGTAGCTTCACATGGCCCCTGAGTGGATATTTTCTCATTTTCTTTGAAGTCCTTATGTAACATTCACTATTTGCTAATACAAATACTGCTGAAAGCTTTTCAAGGTAAATGGGTCATTAATTTGTCAGTCAAGTATATATGGCAATAAGGCAAAAGACCAGGGGTTAGGTTATAATCCTTCTGATGAACTCATACATCTTGGGCAGAACGTGGAAATAATTAATTATTTCTGGTGCAAATGAGTCATGCAATGAGCGGTTCCAAAGTTACAGTAAAAGAATGGTTATAAGTAGCCATTACGTTATGTGCAATGTGTAACATTCTCTAGTCACTTGAAAGGGCATTTTAATGTATTGTTAGAGTTGTTTTGACAAAAACCCTACACATAGCAAGAGAAGTATTCATGTTTTGTCTTTCATGTTCACAGGGAAACAAACCTGCTAATCTCCAAGATGGCACTATATTTTGCCTACCCCCTCATTTTTGGCCAACATATTTTGCCTTTCATCTTTTGGTACATCAGACAAGAAACAAAACCAAACAAAATGTATAAGACAAAAACAGTAATGGGCCAAATGCATTGCATGATTGGAGCAACAATAATGACCATGACAACTTAACTTTGGGAAACTCTGTTTTGAACTGCAAAGCTGCATTTAATTTGTTTCTGCTTTTAGAACTCTGGTAGCTTACCACATGGAGAAAATTAGCACAAAAATCTGGGAATTCCCAGCCTCTCCCTTGACAAATCCTGACGGATAAGCTCTATCATCTTATTAATGAGCTGCTGTGATGCTTTTTACATATTTCAGTAAACAAATCTACAGACCTTTTCTATGTCAGCTCTATTTCTGCCCAATGAATTTAATTGGCGAGTAAAACATAGCAAAGAAAAGCACAGGAATGGCTCCTACCCCTTTGGCTTATGATTTATTTATCTGTTTAGTAAGTAAAACACAGCTTAAGACCAGTATCAATGCTGAAATCAGGACAGTCCAATTTAGTGTGTGACTAACCCCATCTTATCCTCTGTAATTCCCGGGTTCTGTTTTGGTAACTCATTATAATATTGATGTTATGACTGTGCAAATTCGTGGAGACCACACAAGCAGATCCACATGGTTACAGACATCGCACCTCCACATAAAAGCTGCTTAATGTACACACATCCCTGGTTCTCACCTGGAGGTGGGAAATGACTCAAAATATACATGGGAGGCATGGTAGATTGGCCCAGGCAATTAAAAAAAAAGAAGGCGCTCTGTTACTTCAAAACATCAAGGGCTTTGGTCTTTGCCTTTGCGCAGCAACAGCTTGTGATCTTAAATTTAACTGCACTTGCAACAGTTTGTTTTGAAAGTTACCCACCGGCTGCTTGGATGAAGCTCTGCCTCAATGCTGCTCATCATGGAACTTTGCATTTTAGCAAGACTCACACTGCCTACGTGCATTGAGTCCCCTAGAAACCTTTCCCTTTAAAATCAATCACAAAGTTTATGTAACTGGGTATATAATAATTGCACTGAATAGTTTTTGAGCAATCACCACTTGCAGAATGGGTTTCCCAACCAGTTATTAGAAACATACCAACTAACAAGTTCCGTGCTGTGTTGGCAAATCGGTTAGCTTCAGCTTTACCTTTTTTCCCTCTTAATTTTAAAGTAATATGACATGATGTTTGTATATGTGTTTAAAATTTCCCAAAGATTAGTGGGGAGGTGTTGTGCTGATGCCACTGGTGATAGTTCTCATGTCAGACTGTCATGCATGTGTTCATGCATGGGCATCGTGGCCCTTCAGATATGTTTTGGTTACAACTCCCATCAATCCTAGCCAACACAGTAAGTGGTGAGGAATTATGGGGCATGCAGCCCCCAAACATTTGGAAGAGCACAGTTGCCCACTTCGGATATAGAAAACTCATACACACACACACACAAAGAATGGTTTGCCCCAGCTGGAGTAGGGTCTGTGGAGTCAACTGCTGCAAAGTGAGTAAACATATCGATCACATTGATTCAGTGGGTCTGCCCAAGTTGAGACTTCCATGTGTGGCCATATTGTGTAACAGTCCACACAAACAACAATCAGGTCACAGCTGTTTCCGGGGGCATCCGCTTGACGAGGTAACATTCAGTTGGGCAACTGCTGCTGCCTTTGTGATCCTAAAGAAGCATGGAATTTTTTTCCTTGTCAGTGACGTCCGTAGATGAGTTTAGCGCACTTCACAAGAAAGACCTTACCCCTAAAGAGACCCATTGTCTGCATGAAATACTAACACAGCTGCATTAGAACAAAGTGAGCAATGGTCAGTTTTGGCCCTCCGGATATCAACTAGAGATGGGCATGAACTAGTTCATTTCAGTTTGTCCCAGTACGTAAATACAGCAGCACAGGTGCTGCTGTTCCCCTCCCCACCACCACCTCTGGCTCGATCAGCCACTCACCCGGCCTGGCTTCCTTGATCTTCCACAGATCTTCCAGTCCCGGCAACAGCTCAGGCTTCTCTGCCCCTCCCTCTTGGCTGATCTGCCACTCAGACAAAAGGGCGGGGCAGAGAAGTCTGTGCTCTTGCCTGTGACTGGGAGATCAGCGGAGGAGGTGGGAAAAGGAAGCAAGTCTGGCGCCTGGTGAGGGGCCAAATAAGCTAAGGAGGTGGGGGGAGGGGAGCAGCAGCACTGGTGCTGCCTCCTTTATAAACTGGGACAATCTGGGATGAACCAGTTTGTGACCATCTCTCCTGGTAACTGTAAGCTGTGATATGGATGCTCTTCAGATGACAGGATGATTTGTGCAGTAAGCTCCTTACTTCACATATTGTGACTGACACACATAAAAGTCATTGTGCAGAGTTTTTTTTTCAAATCACTTCTCTGTATTCTATATAGCCTGTATGTAAGCCCTCATACAATCGTGCTTCCCTTGACAAAAGTGTTATTAAGTTTTTAAAGCTGTTTTTAATGGTTCTTTTTATACCCCTCACCTACCCAACTGGCAGGGCATGAATATTCTCAATAAATACCTTCCATAGCTATTTTTTTAAGTTATGAAAGTATCTGAAAGTCACTTTCCATGTTCTCATTCCAAAAAAAAAGAAAGCAAGCAAGCTGGGCCCGGTGAGGGGCTGAATCGGCTGCGGAGGTGGGGGAGGGGAGCAGCAACACCTGTGCTGCCGCCTTTACAAACTGGGACAACCTGGGGGAACTGGTTCGTGCCCATCTCTAGCTACAGCTCCTAGTAGGGTCAGGACCTGTTCGTACAGAGCTGCATCCAGTGATTCACAGATCCACTGAAGCTTTTCAGTTCTCCTCTGACAACGACCAGGCAGACATAAACACACCTTTAATCCCCTTAGACACTAGGAGATCTCTGAAGCGTGAGAGCATATGATCAGATCTAGCCCAGTGTTTTGTTCTCCCAGAGGCCAAGCAGATACCCCTACGAAGCCCACAAGCGTGACGTGAGCGCAACAACTGTTCCCTACGTGTATTCCCTAGCAGCTGATATGCAGAAGCCATTGTAAGATGAAAGGCGACTGTTGTTGGAAGGGGAAAGGGCCCACTGTCATCCAGCTGCATTCAAAAAGACCATCTAGATTAGTGTTTCCCACATTGTCTGCCATGATGCCCTGGGATGCCACTAAAGCCAACTAGGGACACCACAAAATCCTCAGAAATCCTTCTATGGAATCAGTGGAAGTACTACTCAGGCTGGGTTTCGCCAATCCCTTCTCCCCCACCCCAAAGTATCATCCTGGGGAACTGTGGCTAGTGGTCAGTAAGTCGAGGGTCGAAAAAGTTTTGGAACCACTGCTCTAGCTCCTAGCCACTGAATACAGAGCCCTGGATAATGATGTAAAATGAAATATTTGTGCTACAACCCTATATCCATGTGTTTAGGGGCACACCACATTGAATTGACTTCTGAGTAGGTATCCTCAGAGCTGTACTCTTATACGAGCAAATCAAGTGTCCTCTAATCTTGTTTTGACGACACTGTTCAGGAGTCTCAGAGGAGATATTCTCAGATGAATCCATGTTCAGAGTGTATTTCTTCCTCCCTGCAAACAAACAAAAATAATATTTGTTGTGAAGCTTTCATATACTTGCTTCTACAGTTAAATGCAAATTATGCACTAGCATAATTTGGAGTCCGTTATTTCAAGCCCCCCATAATTCCATTTTAGAAACCGTGCATAGTTAAAAATGCTAAGCCACATATAGCCTTATGTTGACTTGTGCCTAGAATCACTCTTTCTCTGGATCCCATACCTTTCCCATCCGTTGCTATCAACTGCATGCAGTCCCTTGCACACCAGTCTCTGAGTGAGGTTCAGAGAAGAGGTGAGGATTGACTGATGTGAATTAGAAGGAACCCACAGGTTCTGGGATTTCCTGTAGAATAGCGTTTGTTGTTGTTTAGTCGTTAAGTTGTGTCCGACTCTTCGTGCCCCTGTGGACCAGAGCACACCAGGCCCTCCTGTCTTCCACTGCCTCCCGGAGTTGGGTCAAATTCATGTTGGTAGCTTCGATGATATTGTCCAACCATCTTGTCCTCTGTTGTCCCCTTCTCCTCTTGCCCTCACACTTTCCCAACATCAGGGTCTTTTCCAGGGAGTCTTCTCTTCTCACGAGATGGCCAAAGTACTGGAGCCTCAGCTTCAGGATCTGTCCTTCCAGTGAGCACTCAGGGTTGATTTCCTTCAAAATGGAAGAATAGCGGTAGGCAATCTCAACTCTTCCAGACCTTTAGGGGCTGCAGAGTTCCCGCCAGACAACGGTGAAACTAATTGGAAGGTCACTTCCAATTTAAAAAATGTTTTAACAAGAACATTGTATGTTTGGCAGTGGGTTTAGATTTGCTAAAAGCAGTGTTTTTCCCTCTCTGGGGGCTACAGAAACCGCCAGGGGCCTGTGGCTCACAGCCAATGTGATTCCTAACACAAGAGGCTGCTAAGATAATGGCAAGATAGTGTAATTGGGAGTGAACAGTAGGAGAGGGGTAGGTAAAAGAACACAGGGAGAGCAGCAATGAGAAGAACCAGAGATGGGAAGGGTGTTCCTCTCTCTTTTCTTGGTAGTCACAGATGGGCTACATATATTGCTTCTTCTCAATGATACATGATCTGTCCTCATCTTTTGCTATAGTATTTCCTCCTTGCCCATATGTACATGGGGTACGTATAAATCTCTGCATTTTTTATCTACAGGTAGAAACAGACTCTAAAGAGAAGTTGAAATCCTGAAGAACAACAATAAAAATGACACTAACTAATTTGCAAAGCATGGGCGGGGTTGAGAAAAGCTTGTCCTATGCACTCAGATGCTTTCTCCAATTAAGGAATTATCTCTTCCAATGATGGATTATCTGTAACATTTGCTTTTTCCTACATCTGTGCCAAAAAAGTCTAACTAAAATGACAAAAGGGCTGGAGCAATTGTCTTGTGACAAAATGTTATAATTTGTAAGCTTTATAGTTTAGAAAACAGTTACCCTAAAGGTGAAGGTGGTAGTGTATATGACTACCCTGGCTGAGGGATTCTGGGTACTGTAGTCCAAAAAAGTAACATTTCCAAGCTCTAAGTAGACATTATGAGCAAGTAGGTAAAGTGCCACCCCCCTTGCATGATACTATGATGTGGGGTCATCTAATAAAACCCAATAAAATGGGAATACGCACAGATACGGTAAAAATGACTTCACACAGTGTCATTCGCTACCACAGATGCAATGATAGCTGCCAACTTGGGAAAAAGGATTAGACAAATTCACAGAGGCAAAGGTTATTTATTTATTTATTTATTTATTGGACTTATATACCACCCCATAGCGCTACAAGCACTCTCCGGGCGGTTTACAATGTTTTAATTATACAGGCTACACATTGCCCCCCCAGCAAGCTGGGTACTCATTTTACCGACCTCGGAAGGATGGAAGGCTGAGTCAACCTTGAGCTGGCTACCTGGGATTTGAACCCCAGGTCGTGAGCACAATTTTAGCTGCAGTACAGCGTTTTAATTCACTGCGCCACGAGGTTACCCCTAGCTGACTATAGTCATGACTGTCATGTATTATTTCGAGCATCAGAGGTATTAGGTCCCAACTGCTGGGAAAGTACGAACAGAAAGACAAATCCAGAAGGATCTTGTTTTAAAGAAGTCCTGCTTGAAGGCTTCTTGAAGACAGCCAGTTGGCTGCTGTGTGGGCAGAGAGCCTCTTGCCCTGATCTAGCATGGCTGTGTTTATATCTCATGCTACGCTCTTTGCCTTTGTCAGCAGAGTGTGTGGGCAGCTGTGTTTAGTAGTCATCTTAGCCTTCTGAAATATCAGAGTGCTCCGTCACAGGGTAGCTTTCTTTGACCCTTTGCAAACTGATGATATCCAGACTTCTTATTTAGAAAAGCTAGAAAACAATTAAAACTGTTCAAGAAATACTAGATTAGAGCTTGGATAAATTCCTTGTTGGACTATTACACTCAGTAATAATATCAGTTGAGGGATTCTGGGAAATGTAGTCCGAAACCTCAAAGTCCCCATGTTAAAATTGATTTGCTCATGTGGGACAGCATTGTTTATGCTTTTTAGTTCCTGGAGGCTTGCCAGGATAAAGTTTGGGGGAAAAAAATCCTGTGCTCTCTCTTGCTGTGTTGAGAAAGTCTTTCCCGCAACCTCCTTCCAATAATTAAATGAAAACAAGCTGGATGGTTACATTTCACGGAGGAGGAAGCACTTAGGGAGGGGGGGGAAGAGAAAAAGGTGGTCAGCGCAAAGGCAGCTGGACCATGTCTGGGGTCAGTGCCTCTGGACTTTTCCTCCTGCTCAAAGGGCTTCAAGAATGCAGACAATGCCGCTACACGTTTGAGTTGGGCTCTTAAATATACAGGGTCACTAAATAAATCCTCATTGGAGGACTGGCACATGTCCAGGCAGCTCCATTAAGTTTACGGAAGAAAACAGAACACTTTAGAAGAGCTCTTAAGAACCTAAGCATTAGGGTCACGTAGAAGTCGTTGTGACTGAGCTGACGGAAGACTTTTCATGCCTTAAATCAAGAGATCCTTCAGGTGATCCAGCTCTGTGCGCACCCATGAGCATTTGGAAACTGGGTGCACCAAACTCCCGCAAAGTAGAAATTGTAAGGACTGTTTGGTCACATTTCCGGCTGCTGAACTAAACTGCACATTGTTGCCTGTGCAGCAGGACCAGAGAAGTTATAATTAATTTCTATGCCTCCATGTTGGCTAAAAGGGCCCCCTGAGATAGCTCAAAGGTAAAATTTTACAGGTAAATTTTAAATGCATAACATGATCTTTTGCTCATCGTTTTCTAGTAGGAATAATTTACGTAGTTGTAAATAAAGGAAGAGAGACTGCAAATTAATGCTGCAGATCTCAAAAACATCAAGTTTTCCACGTGAGGGCCGTTGACTTCAGCACCCAGTGTCTGCACACCCTATTCTATCCCAAATTGTTCAGATAAAACTATTTATGTCAAAGTCTATTCTGCATAGCTACGGCCCTAGCAAAATTGAGAGATTTGGTACTGCAGGCTGTCATTAGGAATTTGCAAGAAGATATGGGTAGATGTAGTCAAGGGAACCAAGAAAGAATAAATTAAAGAAGAGAAACTCCCACATAAGTTTATCTGTTCACTTAGGTCAGGATCAAAGGGCTTGTTTTGTTGCACAAGAAGTGGCCTTGTGAAGAGGCCCATTTCAGTCCTTGTATCTAGGCTCTGGAATTGTCACTTGACTGCCTGTTTCGCTCCGTAATGACTCAGTAGTTAGACAGTTGGTAAAACACCCTGGGCCATAGCCTGTCATTCCATCAGGACAGCACAATGCTTGGCCAGATCTTCGTTGGTGGAGATCATGGAGCAGACTTGTTCGCAACAATAAAGGTAAAGGTTCCCCTTGACATTTAGTCCAGTCGTGTCTGACTCTAGGGGGTGGTGCCCATCCTCATCTCCAAGCCGTAGAGCCAGCGTCTGTCCGGAGACAGTTTCCGTGGTCACGTGGCCAGCACAACTAGATGCAGAATGCCATTACCTTCCCACCGTGGTGGTACCTATTTATCTACTTGCATTTTTATTTGCTTTCGAACTGCTAGGTTGGCAGGAGCTGAGACAAGCGACGGGAGCTCACTCCGTCATGTGGATTCGATCTTACGACTGCTGGTCTTCCGACCTTGCAGCACAGAGGCTTCTGCGGTTTAACCCACAGTGCCACCAGGTCCCTATGTTCACAACAATAGGGCAGCTGCAAAGAAGCACGGGAGGCCTCCTCCTTGTGCAAGCTCAAAAAATGGTGGTCTGCTCATACAGCAGCTGTTGAAACACTTAAAAGGATTGCTTTTAAAAAATCCCTATTTAATTTGGGATTAGCCTTTTTTGAATGTTTGTAAAAATGGGCAAATATGTGACACATGCGTAAGACCAGATGAATTCGATGGGAAATCATGTCTTGGGGAGTGGCAGGGAGTTATTACTCTTCCACCAGGGGTCCATTAATTTCAACGCAGATGTGGAATCAACTCAAATTGATTCCCCCTATGTAAAGGCCTCTGTCCACATTAATCAGCCATTTGCTCCTGCTGTTGTGTCAATAAGGGAGTAAGGTGGGTATGAAGCCTGGGCACCAAGTAGCCGACAGGAGCCCCCTGCTGCTTGCTCACTTGCCCAAATCCTCTTGCAGCCTCTCCAACAGGATTTTGCCTTTTGTTATACCTGAAGGTGGCTCTTTGAGATCAGTGGTAAGTGAATACACTCTTAGACCTCTCCAGGCCCTTAGAAATGGACTCATCGAAAAGCATGAGCAGGAGACAGTTCTAGCCCCACCCTCTACTTCTTCGAGCAAGGAAAGACGGAAGACGTGACGCTCTGCTTCTTGGGTGAAAAACAAGATTCCGGATATTTTTAGGATTCCCCAGTTATGTGGACATAGGGGGACTCCACATGCAGCAAATATCTTCTTCTCCAGACATTCTGTATGCCCATAAAAATAAGGAAAAACAAAGGCAGAGCTACAACTTGCCCTGCTGAGTCTTTCAAATTAACCAATTTGTTTTGAATGCCTGAATAGTGCAATCTTACCTATTGCATGTTATGCCATGCTATGCATTGTTTATTGCTACCTTGTTTGCAATTTTTTAAAATATTTTGATATGACTAAAATTGCAATCTCACAGACAGAGGTCTTTACTCAAAAGTTGGTGCTCCTATGGTTTACAACATATATGGTACTGCTTTCTTAATTGGTGTTTTATAATTTGGTTTTATAATCTTGCTAGACTACTATGAATCTTTGCAATAACCATAAACTAAACACCTTAAGTTATATAAAATCTGCTCTGCTGTTAACTGGCCTCACCTCATTTCCAGATATATTATATACTATTTTTCATTATGTAATCTTTTTTCTGCTTTAGTCCAAAAATCCAAATAAATGTAAAGGTTAAAAAAAAAAAAGAAGGAAAGGAACGTGAAGATAAATGTTTTGAATACAGTTAGTAAATAAATAATTGTTCCCACTGAGTACTGTACAGTTCTTCACATTATTATTTTTATCCAGTGCTATCATCTGAATATTATGTTTATTTGTGAGAAGCAGTATAATCTGCCTTTTTATAATTGCTAAAATCCTATTGTAGTTCATGTAAGCTTTGCATAATTTGCATAGCTAATTTCAGTTAACTGACAAGGTGCTGGGGCACATCTCAGCTGTGCAACACGGCCTGTGACCAGGTACACAACCGAGAGATACACAACCGAGAGGTCCCTTTTCAATTAGCCACAAATAGCTGCAACAAGTTACATAAAGCTTATGTGAATACCACTAAGATTCTGGCCAATGTATGCAGATGTGGATGGAAAGAGTTCAGCACCTGGGAAATGATGATGGAAACCCATAGGCTCTTGCACAAGTAATTGTGATGGAATATGGAGAAGGCATAACAAGGCAGAGGCAAAGGGAAAGATTGAGAATCTCCTTTCTTTTCCTCTCTTCCCCCCCCCCTTTTCTCCTAAATTTAATCTCAAGGTGAAAACATATGCCAGGCCTGTGATGATTTCCATGAAAATTACATAGGAAAGGGAAGCAGAATGTGAGGGTAGGACTTTTGGGAAATGCCGGCTAAGCATGACAGAGAAAAGCTAAAGGGAAGAGAGAGAGAGAGGGAGAGAGAGAGAGAGAAAAAGAAAGAAAGAAAGAAAAGGCAGAGATGGGCTAGAGTGGGGAAGAAACGCTTTGTCTGGGGATTACAATATTCTTCTCAGGATCACAAAAACCCTGCTATTTCCATAAGGTTCATATTTGCATTCCTCCTCACACTCATAAGGAACACTTGTAGAAATTATCACAGGCCTCCTACAAGGCTTGTTGAGTTACAGGGATATAGTTTATCCTTCAGACATTCTTTAGCTGAGCATTATCACAAGACTTCCATGGAAATGGTTTGTTTCTTTGGTGTGTTTGTCAGTGTGCTATCAGTGTCCTGTTAGCTTAATCTTCAACAAGTGTTTACATTTTTCCTCATTTGAACCACCGCAAAGGAACTGCAGGCCTATCGCTCGGACGGTGAAGCATAACATAACATGCGTCGGAGTAACATCTTCTGATGCCTGAACTAAAAAAGCCAGAGCAGATGTTCTTGGAGGCCACCCCTTTGAGTCAATCACCCTGTTGAAGCAAGGGCTTCAGCCGAGGTTAAGTGAAGTGCAAACCCTTCATTACTGGGTTGATTTTCTCTTGCAAGCTGAGACAGCACCGGTTCAGTAACATGCTCCAGGGAGCCCAGTGTTAACCTCTGCTCTCGGCATTCTGGTGTCAGGCCATGAAAGGAGCTAACTCCATTCATGGCATTTGCTCCGTAGGTTGTGTAATGAAATGCTACTGCTTTAACCCTTACGGCAATTGAGAAAGAGATGGATCAATGAGAATTCCGAGCTTGCCTCAACAAGAGGCGCAAAGCAACACAGCCTGTACATTAGTGTTGGAAAAGTTCAGCAGATCTCTTGAGGACTATTGCTCAGTGGTATAGTACATGTTCTCTATGCTAAAGTCCAAAGTTCAACCCTTGCCAATTCCAGAGAAGGGCGAAAGTCTCTTCTCTCTCTGAGACAGACTCAAAGTAGACAATGATAGGTTGGGAGCAGTGGTCTAAATCAATGGTTCCCAACCTTGGGTTCCCAGATTTTCTTGGACTACAGCTCCCAAGAATCTGGGCCAGCACAGCTAGCGGTGAAGGCTTTTAGGGGTTTTCGTCCAAGAACATCTGAGGACCCAAGGTTGGGAACCACTGGCCTAAATGAACCAGTGCTCTCTCTTAATGTATTCATTGTAGAAGTTTAAAGGGAAATATATGGTGGCACGCAACCCATTACGTATGGCTGCCGTTGAAACAATTGCTGTAAACCTTGGTGAATTGGTGCAAGATAGAGAGTTTGCACAAGGCATCTGCTGTTTTGTGTGCTAAGTTGCTGTGCAACAACAGATATCTATACTCTTTTCTTGTGTCATTTCTCCAATGAATTGTTTGCCAATTGGATTATTCTGCTGCGTATCACTAGTAGGATTTTTGCCTAAGTAACCGTATCATGCGTAGAATATCTGACCCCAACAGAACACAAGCCCAACACTAATTTCCTAGCTGTTTTTCCCCCCTAGTGGGCTCAGGATGATTCCTGGATATTGTTTAAGTAGTTGGGAAGCACAGTTAAAGGAAAGGTTTAATATTCCCCACTCACCCAGTCCTCATGTTCAATCATTTGTTTCTCTCCTCCCTGCTTTATATAAATGTGGCACAGTGTGATTTAGGGATGGACTTCCATCTTGTCTAGCTGGGCTGTAGGAGGCAGTGGCCAGAATCCTCTTGACAAATGTGCAGAGTAACAGCCTTGGGGGCAGAATGTTTTGTGATTGCTCCAGCAATCTGCAGCTTGCCATTACGCAAGCAAGAGATAACTTTCTGAAAAACAACAAGGCTTACGTATGTGCAAGGGGTGGTGGGGGAGAAGACATTCTTGAGCAATTGGCACAAAGAGAGAACTGCACATGCAATGAGCCATTGCATGACTAGAAAAAAAAACATCCAGTCTTTGGCCATTGTATTTTAGCAGTGGTGCAACCCCACAGAGTTCTTAGTCTTTCAAGCACCTGATCATATGCTGTTTAGAAATGAAAACATTCATTCATGTGAGACTCTAAATGTACTGTCCCAATATACTTAAGCTCCGTGCTTGGTTTCAAACATAGGAACTGTTCCACTGATGTGCATCTTCCAGGGCTGTCGAATAGGTTAAAGAGGTGCTGAAATCCTACCGCTGGGCCCAGAAGCATTCGCGGAAAAGATCAAGGTGCTTGATCTTGAAGAGTCAGTTAAGGTCTGCTCTAATGAGACTAATGAGGAAGAGAAAAGGTAGGAACAATATAAATGAAAAACATGGAAGATATAAAAAAAACTATCTGGATTGCCAACTGTTCCTCCTCATTTTAAACACCCATCTCTTCAATTAATTGAATTTTCATCTGCCACATGTAAGACAAACCTGAGAAATATCATGTTCTTATTAATATTAGGACTTCCTAACATCTTTCTAATCTGGTATCTGATCATGTTTAATGTACTGTGGTGGGTTTAACTATAGATTTATTTATTTATTTATTTATTTATTGGACTTATATACCGCCCCATAGCGCTACAAGCACTCTCCGGGCGGTTTACAATTTTTAATTATACAGGCTACACATTGCACCCCCCAGCAAGCTGGGTACTCATTTTACTGCAGCCACCAAGGAATCTTGGAGAGGTTGGTTCTTTCTGGAGAGTCAACCCAGGTGTGTTTCCCCTACAGCAGAAAATTAACCCCTGGGCTTTTCTGGAAACATGGCTACCCACACCTGTTGAGCAGATAGCAGATTTACTGCTGGGACAAAAGTACAAGAGAGTAATTATATAGTATTCTTTTAAAAAAATAGTTTAACCAAATGGAAGGAAGGAAGGAAGGAAGGAAGGAAGGAAGGAAGGAAGGAAGGAAGGAAGGAAGGAAGGACAATGCAAAACTTCATCATGCATTTATGCACTGAACTTAGCAATGACTTTTCTGGCAGCCATTAATACTCACATTCAGGTGTCCAAAGTAGAAAAACCTTGCTGTCAGTTTGACCACTGTAGCCAGAGATGCACAGAATATGGTGATGCCAGAGCAAAAATCTACTATGTGTAGGGCCAGATGATACCATTCATAGTTCGATGGATCTTTGCAGGCAGTAGCAAACTTGCCATAAGGGAAAGGGAAAACAATGGCATAACCAAGGTAGTTTGTACCCGAAACCCCAGCAAAAGAGTAGTAGCAATAAGGTCCAAGCAGGATGGAGGCAATAGCAATAGCACCTTGAACTGGGGAGATGATTATATTTAATACGGCAAAGGTGAAACCAGCTTCCCACTAGAATTGAAATAGAAAATTACTGTCACTGATGGCAGTCAAATGATGAAAACCCTATCGACAAACAATATATTTTTAACTGTGTCCATTGGAAATGAACAACCTTTCTCTTGTATTCGGAATTTTAAAACTTCCCATTGCTTTTATTCTAAATATGCCATATACAGATTTTGGTAAGTTGTTTACAAACTGAAATAAAAGTCTGCCCATTTGCAGTAGCCAAAGTGAATATGTACGGCCACACCTAACGCGGAGAGGGCAATACTTATTTCTTTACTCATGAATTTAAGAGCCTTTTATATTCTCTTTCCCCTCCCCCCGTAAGTTGAAAGCAACTTGCATTTAAAAAACTAATAGCTAAAACAATAAAATAATCAAGCAAAGTGTGTCCATTTAAAAACAACTGTGTCAAAAATTCACCAAAAATCAAGGGTAACAAGTACAATGCTAACCATAACAGTGAGAATGTTAACAATCTGGAAAATAATGGCAGGGAAACAAATAGATCTTTATTTGAACCTAGAAACACAGAACATTGGGAGCTTGCCCAGTTTCGAAGTGGAAATACGTAGTTGCAGAAGGCAGGCAACATCCCAGGGAAGGGATGTTCAACACACCTGCCATGTTTTATTTATTGAATTTGAGGACTTAGCAAAAAGAGAATGAGTATGGATCTATATCCAGACTTTAGGATTAAGTATTCAAGCAGGTGGGTCTGGACCTCACATCTTTTTTTCTTTAAAATCTCAAGTTCTTCCCATGGAGAAAACTGGAAATTTACCGCAGGTATGTTTATTAAAGAAGCAACAACAACTTGTATTTGTTATGTAATACTTGTCAATGCTTTTCTAATTTTGATTGACTGTTTCTGGTATTTTTGAACAACAACAACAAAAACAAAATACAGAGATCTGGCAATCAAAACATCTCACTCGTGGATAAAATGCACTTCAGTGGTTCTCGTGATCATCGGGGCTTTGGCAACAATATCAAGAAATTTAACACAGTGTTATAAACAGTTGCAGATCTCAGAAATCACACCATCAGTGTGTGATTACAAAAAAGGGCAGTACAGTACTAGGAACAGTGTACATATTGTGCCGATATTTAACAGATACTTAGGTTTTTGGCATAAACTTTTATCTATTATATAATACCAGTCAATGTTTTTATCATTTTGATTGACTGTGTTTGGTGTTTTTGAATAATAATGTTCTCTTATTGCTAATGCCAGTAAAGGTAATACTGTATTAAGAGGGCATTCAGAAATCTGTGATTATACTATAATCTACACTATAATTTCATTTTAAATCAGAGCTTTGTAGTCTTTGAGAGAGGAGAAGAATACTTCTCCTTTGTCATGTTACTCTTCAGTTCCCTTACATGAACCGCCCTTCTCTTAGACAGAGTGAATCAATTGTGGCAGCAGGCTGGCACAGGTAGTCCATCCCTTTCTGCCCTGCATACCCAAAGCTAGCCCATTGTCCACAAATCACGTGGAAAATGGTGTTGACTGCCATCATCTTAAATCCTCCAACGGCAGAGCTGGAAGGGACTATATGGATCCTCAAGCCCCTGTCTAAGAGGCATAGCATGGAATGAAACTCCCAACCTCTGGCTCCACAATCAGAGACCCCAAACCATGGAATTATCCAGCAGTTACACCTGATCTTTTTTCTGAATTTGAAAGCTAAGCATGATGAGGCCTGGTTAGTACTTGGACAGGAAATACCACGTGTCTTCAGGTAAGGCTAGGGGGGGAAATCTGCTTTGAAAATCTGAAGAGCTGCTGCCAGCCAGAGCTGAAAATATTGGGTTAAATGGACCGAGAGTGTAGCTCCATAGACACCAGCTTCCTCTGTACCTTCACTAGCAGTGATGTAAGATTTCATTGCCAGTCCAAGAGTACAAGGAAATGGAAGCATGCTGTCTTGTCCTTTGCCCAACCAAGCTCTGGCCCCTTGGAAAGTGGTGGAAGGGGGCAAGAGGCAAGAAGCAGCAGCACCAGGGGGCTCCTGGTGGGGAATATGGTTCCTGTTGTCACGTGGGCCTTGACAAAGGCCCTGTGAGGCTGCCCTCCTCATTCCAGGCCTGGACTGGTACCTCCAAGGAGGTCATGATAATATTTCCAACACTGCTCTTTGCTTTTCAAAATATTATGGGACATAGTAGGGGGATCTGGCTTTATTTCAGCTGTGAATCTCATTTTGTGCTGTTGCGTGAGCAGAATAACAGGCAGAAATAAAGAGTGGGATGTGTCATGTCGTGGAGAAAAACATTTTAAAAATGTCAGATGCTTATTACTATTATTATTTTTCCACAGAAAAGGTTATGTGGCCAAACCCAAAATGCAAAAATCCTGCAAGGCTCATTTTTTGAAGATGAGGGTCCTATTTATGCATTTACCATGTATCAAAGAAACAGAAAAACAACTTCTTACAAATTCCACTGTTTGGATGGGTTTTATAGGTTTTAATAGTGTTCCCTTCCTTCAAGACAGGAAATATCTTTGGATCCTGCTTGGTCTTATAAATCTGTTAGAATGTTTTAAATTGTGCCTGTTCTGAGCCCTGTATTCTTTATCTGATCCTTAGCTTGTGGTAGGAAAAAATGTGCTTTTTCTTCTTCTAGGGTCTATGTCTGGATTAAGACCACTTGCCTACTGCCTAGAATATGACACTGTATAAAATAACCAGATAACCTTACCAGGTATGTCTGGGTCCATTGTTTTTCAGCCAGAGCAATGAGTACACCTGTAATAACAGCCTGTAGACAGAAGGGAAAACATATGGTCACATGCCATAAAGTCAGTGATGTTAAGAGTCCTTTGTTCCGTCTGAAGTATTTTGCAACAGACATCTTTAGAAACTACCACAGAAGGAAACAAATCCACTAATGTCAGAACATATTTGGGTACAGTGCAAGCACAGGATCTGGCACAAGATTCTGCAGGCAAAGATATTTAGAAAACAGAATGGAATCTATCAGACCTCAGTACCAAATTAGCCTGCTTCTGTGCATGGGTAACAGAAGTGTGCTGATTTGGTACTGAGGTCAGCTAGATTCCAGACGATTAAAAATAACAATAAGATATCAACACGGGCTCTTATTTAATATAATAGGAAGACAGATTGAAATAGATGGTTCATAATAAAAAATGCAGGAATATGTGGGATCTGTAATGACCAGTGCTTGGAAGTTACTTGTTAAATCTTATGGGTTCCAAACTGTCATGTATTTGTTTTTCCAAGAAAGTATGAATTAAACTTAAGGGATAACTAAAGGTCTGGTTGCAGTTTAACTTTAAAGTAATATTTAGAATTGGAGGGCTATGACTTCATAAAACTGGGTTTGGTGCTGTATTGCCTTATTTCATTCATTATTTGCTCGGACCTCTTGATGTACTTCTGGAGGGGCAACACCAGCCAAATAACTGATTTTTTAAATAGACTAGGTTTCAGGCAGCCGATACTAATCCTGCATGATTCATCAACAGCTACACCCACTTTTTTGGTATGTGCTGATTTATACCACAAGGCGCTAGCATATTCTGCTGTGGAGTGGCACACAACAAAGCTGTTGTTATTGTTTGTGGGTGCTCACCCCAGTCTGACTGACCCAGCCAGGTTTCCTAAGAAGGTTATTTCTGGCAGCAACTTTTTATTTGGTGTTTAGACAATGTTTTTGTAGGTAAGGGTTCGATCCAGATTGATTGCCAGATATTTTGGGACAAGGCAATGTTCCAAAATCTTGCATCCCCAGATAACTCGGAGCTTCCTCCCTGCTTCTCTGTTCTTTAAGTGGGATTTGGGGAAATGAGGGACTTGGACACTCAGCAGCTCCAATCTGAAACTCAGCAGGCTAGAAGTGGTCCAAAGGATGGCGGCTTCCCTTTCTTAGAATGTGATTATAATGTGGCAAGAGTAAGGTAAATGTCTTTCTCTTGGATGAAGCACTCAAATCCATGCTCATGGGATATGATAGTCATATGGGGGGGGGTCACTCTAATATCTGAAGAAGTGGACTTGAGTACAAATGTTTACATTAAAATATAACAGTAAGTCTTTAAGGTGTCACAATGTCTCTTGAGGTTGGTTTGTTTTTTGTCTGATACAGATTAACACAGTTACTTCTTTGAAAGAAGCAAGTGTAAATGTCTATCACTCAAAATATCACCATCATGAATTGATAAATTACTTTGTATGGATGTGAAAGCTGGACAGGGAAGAAAGCCAACAGGAAAAAAGATCAATTCATTCAGAATATGGTGCTAGAAGAGAGCTTTGCAGATACTCAAGGTCCTAAATCAAATTAAGCCTGAACTCTCCCTAGAGGCAAAAAGGATGAAACTGAGGTTGTCATACTTTGGACACATCGTGAAAAATGCAAGATTTGTTGGGGAAAAAAGCTTTGATGATAGGAACAGTTGAAAGCAGCCAGAAAAGAGGAAGACCAAATATGAGACGGATCGATTCTATAAAGGAAGCCGTGGCCTTTGAGTTTGCAAGAACTGAGCAGACCTGTTAATTACAGGACACTCTGGAGGTCACTTATTCATGGGGGGTCACCAAAATTTGGAGGTGACATGATAGCAGATAACATCAAGAGAAATATTCAAATACCTCATGTATTTGCTTACTCCATGTCATGGTAACCGGCAATATAAAGCTGGAGAAGAACGACGTGATGTAATGGCACTACGTAACATGAACTGAAGTTCTGAAAATTCAAAAGTCATTTGCCTCTATTCATTGCCAGCCTGTTAATGCAATCAACTCTTTGGATGCCAACCTCCTGTCACTTTGGAAGCTCATTACAAGGTGTCCTGTTCCGTTTTCCATGCCACTTGGTCTCACTTCCATCCTCATACCAAAACTCTGACTTCAGCAAAACCAACCGCTCCTCGAAAATTCAGGTTCTGAGAACTTCTTTGAATTTTGCAGCTACTTGCCAGGATGCTTATGTTATCACTGGGTGGTCACTGTCTGTGTTACGAATGCCACCATGGACGTTCATTAATGGATATCCCTGTTCCACTTGGTTCGGTTTTTCATCCCCGTCATATGCACTGCATGTTGTTGTTGTTGTTGTTGTTGTTGTTGTTACATGCTGACCAGTCAAAACTGACTTAGAGTGACCCTAACAGGACTTTTATGGTCAGTGAGGTATGAAAGGAGTGGTTTTACCAGTTCCACTCCCCCAGTGAGTGTCCAAGGCTGAGTAGGGATTCAACCCCCTGTCTCCAGAGTCCTAGGTATGCACTATATAAAAACCTAAATATTGGCTTAGATATTGTATTGTATTCCATGTATCTGAAGTAAATTGTTATCCATGAAAGAGCACATTGAAATAAATTTGCTAAGTTTAAGGATGCTTCTGTTCTTTTTTTTTTTTCTAAAAGTAGTAACTTGGGTCCTTTTTTATTTTTCATTTCATTTTATTTTATTTTATTTTTGAAAACTGATATGATTTCCCTTAGTATTAAATGAAGGGGATTGGGATATAAAGGCATTGGCCATCATGGCAAACCTATAATCTATTTCCTGTTTGTTTCTGTTTGGACTAAACAGCGATACAACCGCACAGGAAACTCCCTTAAAAATCAATTGAACATGGATAAAGAGCAAATGGCCACTGGGATCTTAGATCTCCCATACAGAACAATCCCTGGATTTAGGATCTTGTGATTTAAAACATTTAGGATCTTGTGATTTAAAATGTAATAGATTCTTCAAAATTAATAGGGTTGCAAAAAAAAATCTCTCAGATAATAGTCTCTGTTTGTTTGTTTTTACATTTTTCCCTTGAATTACAAAGAGCCATGAACTATATCTAGGCTGCCTCAGAGGAAGAAGAAAAAAAAGCTTGCCCAGACCCTTCTCTCAATCCACATTCCAAAAGGTGCTGGAACACCCTTTCTGAGCTGGCGATGTTGCTTCATAGCCAGCGATAGCAGGTGTCACTTAATACGTTCACTTTTCATTCTTTATAATGGGAATGCCATTTCTGTCTGCACAGAATATGTAGGTTTCCTGCCATTCAGATGGACTACGTTGCACCTGCAGCTTGTGAATATCTGTCCAGATGAGGCTAATGCATGAACTGTGTGAAATCCTAACAAAGTCATACCTGGCTGTGGCTTAATGTTTGGCTCAGTTTTTGTTATGACTCAGCTCCCGATTGCTGGTTGAGACACAGCTGGCCCTTCCATTAGCCCCTGTGAGGCAGTACCTTGGGTTGGAAAAGGAGAGCAGATTTCCTCCACTGATCTGACAGTGCCCCTGCTGGCCACTGTGCAGCACTGCACCGTGCAGCTCTTCCAGTAGTGGAAGGCGAATAGTTACCTCTTGTTTTGTCCCATTTATTCCCTTGGCAGGTCTTCTCCTCCTCCTGCTCTGCTTGCTTATTTATGTGAGGAGAACAAACACTATCTTGCAGTCCTCATGCAGGCAGGCAGAGGTTGGCACCACCATATCCTCCTCAGGTCCATGGGATAGCACAAACACTGTCACCACAAAGTTCTCCTTTTCAAGAGGAGGCTAGGAAGAGCCGGCAGATGCCACCATGGTCATGTTTTCTATCTCCTTCTTGAGTAGGAAAATGTGAGGAATGGGACAGGGAAGCTAATGTCCCTATCGATGTACCACCCCCCCCCTCTTCCTACTGAACTGTCAGGGATCATAGGATGGCATTGACAAACTGGTAAACCAAGGTGTTGAATCTGAATTGTTGCATGCTGTTGTTGAAAAGTTCCCTTCTAAGTTAATAAATGCACTTGATTTGTAGAATCCTTTGTCTCCAAACATTATTAGGAAAGGGGAGGAAGATCACCCTGGGAGAATGAGTGGGGATCACGGACAGTGACTGCCATCACCACTATGCCCTGCATGAGCCAACACCAGAGGTGAAGGCTATACTTTGCTTCTAACCTTTAGCTGAGAAGAGCTTTGGGTATCACTGGGTACACTGGGTCATGACAAGTTTGTGCCAAAAGATTTCCAGTTCAAAACCTCTCGACAACCATGACTTTACTTAGCAGTATAATTATGTTAAATTACCCTTTCTGATCTTTTGGTGCATGGTGCAGTCTGGAAAACTTAATATTTTGATTACAATTCCCAGAATCTTGGTAGACTCTGAGAACTGTGGTTGGAAAAAAGAAAGCAGCTTCTCCCTGGTCTGGGAATGGAGAGCTGAGATGCACAATGACTGCATTCTGAAAGCTTTTCACATGTTCAGTGCCTATTACAAAGTGACTCAGCTTTGTAACGTCTAAATCTAGAGGTGTGGAAATCATAATTTTTAAAAAATGTGAATTTACAGTGAAACAGGTACTAAAAGATTGCAATGGTAGATTTATAATAATACAGGGTAAAATGGGTTTGGAAGAGTATACTTTGGTTAATATTTATGCACCTAATAATAAACAAGGAAATCTTAATGACATGGTTATTAAAGAAATGGAGAAGGTAAAGAAGCGTTATGTTACTATGGCAGGGAATTTCAATATGGTTATGGATAAGACAAAGGATAAAACTTATTTACTTATTTTTCAGCAGTATATAATAGTTATTCCAGAATAGATTTCATATTCACATCTCAAGATTTAATTCCTAAAATAGTTAATAGTGAGATTAATTCTATAAAAATAACATTTTCCAGTACTAAGAGGTAATAGAAAAGATAAAGAAAGAATGGTTAGAATTATGGAAAATTAATGAAGCTGGAGGTACAAAATTAGGCCTGTTGTGGGACACGATGAAAGT